GGCCCAGCACGCGAGTCGTCCTGAAGGCGGGAGAACAAGAGACAGTCGCCGGCCGGGTCCGGAGGTCACGCGAGGACGCAAGGTTATGCGTACACGTGAACAGTCACCGGGCTGAGGACACCACGATAGTTGCTCGCATGAGCGACTAGCGGAGGGGCCAATAGGGAACAAAGACTGCCGGTCCTTAAATACTCTGCGACCGCTGGAGGAGGCATCCTGCTGCTGGGACACGAGACCTGCTGTTGGCCGAGACGCGCTACCGACGACAGAAGACACGCTGCTGACGGGGACACACAGAAGAGAGAGCTGATGTACTAGCAGGAATTTTGACAGTAAAGTATCATCTGCTATCCTGTTCTGCCTTTTCTTCCTACTACGCAACTGGGGGATATAACCAGTGTCGACGCAGGCACGCCCAAGGTTATAACACAAACCGAACTTAACCGAATAACAAACTTAACCTATACTTACACTTAACCATAAGAATAAACCTTGCTCTATCTCACTTATCCTGGAGCCTAGCGCAAGGACGCCTGTATTTCGGGCGATCGCTTTGCTCATGATCTGACAAGGAGTCGTATAAGTCAACCTTACCAACTTTAAGAACATTTGGACTCCTAACGAAATGCCTTCCCGCAGATAGGCGTCGGCTCCTTGCAATAAATCCCCCATACGGTACTATCTTTTAGGCATTTAAATTCAATCTGGATGCTACTGTACAGTGTCATTAGTTTGCCAGTGGTCCATAAATACAAGTGACACCATGTTCCAGAACTGCTACTATACAATAAGATATGAAAAAGTTTTTGAAAACTCAGGGATGGAATTTCTTATACTAGCTCAATGATTAGGCCATTTGACTCTGATTAACAAAGTCGCGAATCCGAGCCTCGGGTGGTGCACCACTTGGGGTTGGGTATGGCTGGCTGATGATGGCTAATAAGCCAGAAATGGCCATTCCAGACTCCCTTGTCTTTGCTGGCAGTACTATCCGCCTCAAATGTTAATATTAACTGAGCCTAGGGAGTTTCATCCCCAACTGATCTACTCCAAATTAACGATTAATTTCTGAGAACACTGTAAGAAAACGGTAGTTCCAAACCGGAACCACTAATGAGCAGCGGCAGAATGTCGACGAAACGGGCTTTAAGCTATTACCTGTGCTGTCAGTGTGACTAATCTCACAACAGGCCTACTGACTGCATTTCAGTAGCCACATAACATCACAGATTTAACAGGGCCAACACCACTGTTACAATCATCGAGTATATTTATTACCTTTTGACAAATACCTTCTGCAGGGCCTTCAGTCACTCACCCGACATAGGTGTATAAATAATTTTAGGTAATTAACTGAACTATAATCAGAAGTCGCACAGACGAACCGGAAGGCGGTATTCATGGCGAGTAGCAGAGGAGGAAAGGCGCTTTCGTGGACTGCCGGGGTACACATGAAACTGCGACCTGACGGAACGACCGGAGCTGGGCAGCACAGGGATCTCGCGTATCATCATGGCAGCCTTCACGGACCAACGCAGGGAACGACGATCGTTCTCGCCGGGCACCAGAGTGTTGCGCCACTGACGTTTGTAGGCGTGGAAGAGGGTCACGGGATCGGCGCGGACACGCGGTCCGCAGGCTCGGTTTCGTTTGACAACGGAG